TTTTATTTCTTACCAAATAATTGGCCAATATATTGTGTTTTTGTGCATTAAAAGTAAAAAAAGTGTTTTTTTTTAAATTTGCATTTCAAAAATCGCTGCGCAAGTACTATGTGACATGAAAAATTGCAGCACTCACTATTTTATTTACTTAAAAAATATATAATGTTTGAGGATTCAAAGTAATTTCCTAGCAAAAAATACAGATTTTTTTTATGTGAACAAAAAGTGTCAAAAAAGGCTTGGTCTTCAGGTGGTTAGAAGAGTGAGTGATGTGTGGCATAAACTTCTAATGCTGAGCATAAAATGCCCCCACCCCCCAAAATGACCCCTTTTGGAAAGTAGACACCCCAAACTATTTGCTAAGAGGCATGTTGAGTCAAAAGAAGAATTCATTATTTTACAAGTTTTTGGAAAATGGAAAAAAAAAAAAAAAAAAATTTTACACAAAATTGTCACTTAAATGATTTATTGCTCACACATGCTATGGGCATATGTGGAACTACTCCCCAAAATACATCCCCAAAATACATTCTGCTGCTTCTCTTGAGTATGGGGGTACCACATGTGAGAGACGTTTTGGCAGTCTAGCCAAGTATGGGACCCCAAAATCCAATAAGCACCTTCAGGCTTTTAAAGGGCTTTATTTCCTTATTACACTTCCAGACTACCTATCACAGTTTCGGAGGTCCTGAAATGCCAGGATAGCACCAAACCCCTCAAATGACCCCTTTTTGGAAAGTAGACACCCCAAGGAATTTGATAAAAATACCACAGAGATACCTGAGAAAGCTAGCTGATAACACTCAATAGAAGCATATAGGACTTTACAAGGTCACTGGATTTCTGGTAGGATCAACATATATTTGTGCAATAACTGAATAGATATAGCAAAATACTTTCAATGGCACTTTCAAAGTGTAACCACACTGGTGTTGAAAACAAAAAACAAGAACTTCCTCTGTGCGATCTATGTATATTGCAAGGATATTAACAAACTTTGTTGCAAACTCCTGCTGGTGAAATTGCTTGTTGTTTCATCATATCCCTTGCAGACTTGATTCCTGAATTGGAGGGTATGATTTCATTACCTGAGCAAATCTCAGTGTTCTAATGCAAAGTCTGCATTCCTTTAATAGACAAGTCTTAGGGGAGTATCTCACCAAAAATAAAATTCCTAATGCATGGAATGCCTAAAATGTTCCTTGCATCTTAAAGGATAAGTTCACCTTTCGTAATATGATAATCATATTCAGGATGTAACATGTAACATGCTATGATCTGACCAGCCCTCGCACCCCCCTGATCCCTGCTGTGACAGCTAGTGGGGGTTTTCTCCCTACTAGCTCTCACAAATTAAAAAAAAGTGGCATTGTGGGGCTCCGCCCCCCCCGGCCGAGTCATTCATTCACAGTATTCTGTGTATAGGAAAGCTAGCCTTTGCGGATGTCAACTTGTAGTTTTCATTGAACTACCATGGCGCTCCACAGCACTGTGGTAGTTCAATGAACCTTCCTGTCAGTAGTATCTGCTTGCTTGTACGGGATATACAAGTAAGCAAATATACTGACAGGTCAGGGGAAGACCTGCATAGGCCCAGCGATCTGCTGATCACTGGTGCAATGCTTTAGAGGCTTCACAAACAAAAAATAATAAATGCACATTTTTTTACATGCATATAAAATGTGTATTTATTATTTTTTGTTTAAATGTGAGCTTATCCTTTAACCACTTGCCAACCGTGCTATAGCCGAATGATGGCTACAGCGCAGTTGTCCAGTTCTGGGAGGGCGTCATAAGACGTCCCCCCAGACCGTGCACTTTCGCGTACCATCATCGGGGCACACCTGGTGCTGTCCATGATCACATGATGAGGTAAAAGGCCAATCACAGCGGCCGTTTACTACATGATCAGCTGTGTTCATTGACACAGCAGATCACCGAATAAAATACAGTTGCCGGTTATTGGCTGCACTTTCCTCACGCTGTCACAGCATGAGGAAAGTACTGCCGAGAACTGGCAAATGTCACATAGGACATCTGCACTGATCATCAGTGCCCAGCAGTGCCGCCCAGCAATGTCACTCACCAATGCCCAGCAGTGCCTTTCCCCAGTGCCCAGCAGTGCCTCCCACCAGTGTCCAACAGTGCCACCCATCAGTACCCAGCAGTGCCACCCATCAATGCTGCCCAGCAGTGCCACCCATCAATGCCCAGCTGCCACCCAGTGTTGCAGTGCCACCAGTCAGTGTTGTCAGTCAGTGCTGCCAGTCAGCGCCACCCATCAGTGCCGCCTATCAGTGCCCGTCATTGCTGCATATCAGTGCAGCATCATCAGTGCCTCCTCATCAATGCCCACCAGTGCCGCCTCAGCAGTGCCACCTCATCAGTGCAGCCTATCAGTGCCCATCAGTGCATCAATTTTCCTGTAAGGCAAATTGTTTATACATTGTCCCCTAAGGGTTCAGTGAGGGAAATAAGTATTTGATCCCCTGCTGATTTTGAATGTTTGCCCACTGACAAAGAAATGATCAGTCTAAAAATCGGATGGTAGGTGTATTGTAACACTGAGAGACAGAATAGCAACAAAAATTTCAAAAGAAATGCATGTCTAACAAATTATGCACTGATTTGCATGTTCATGAGGGAAACAAGTATTTGATCCCCTATCATTTAGCAGCATTTCTGGCTACCAGGTGTTTTTCATACAGGTAACAAGCTGAGATTAGAAGAAGTATCTTAAAGGGAGTGCTGCTAATCTCATTTTGTTACCTGTACAAAAGACACCTGTCCACAGGAGCAATCAAACAATCAGATTTCAAACTCTCCACCATGGCAAAGACCAAAGAGCTGTCCAAGGATGTCAGTAACAAGATTATAGACCTACACAAGGCTGGACTGGGCTACCAAACTATCGCCAAGCAGCTTGATGAGAAGGTGACAACAGTTGGTGCAATCATTCGCAAATGGAAGAAACACAAAACAACTGTCAGTCTCCCTAGGTCTGGTGCACCATGCAAGATCTCACCTCGTGGAGTGTCAATGATCACGAGAACAGTGAGGAATCATCCCAGAACTACATGTGAGGATCTTGTCAATGATCTCCAGGCAGCTGGGACCACAGTCACCAAGAAAACAATTGGTAACACACTACACCGACAAGGATTGAAATCCTGCAATGCCCACAAGGTCCCTCTGCTCAAGAAAGCACATGTCCAGGTCTGCCTGAAGTTTGCCACTGAACATCTAAAAGATGCAGAGGAGGACTGGTTGAAAGTGATGTGGTCAGATGAGACTAAAATCAAGCTCTTTGGCATCAATTCAACATGCCTTGTTTGGAGGAGGAGGAATGCTGCTTATGACCCCAAGAATACCATCCCAACTGTCAAACATGGTGGTGGAAACATTCTGCTTTGGGGGTGTTTTACTGCTAAGGGGACAGGGCAACTGTACTGCATCAAAGGGACAATGGACAGGCAATGTACCATCAAATCTTGGGTGAAAACCTTCTTCCCTCAGCCAGGGCATTGAAAATGGGTCGTGGATGGATGTTCCGGCATGACAATGACCCAAAACACACAGCCAAGGCAGCAAAGGAGTGGCTCAAGAAGAAGCACATTAAGGTCCTGGATGGCCTAGCCAGTCTCCAGACCTTAATTGATTGAAAATCTGTGGAGGGAGCTGAAAGTTCGAGTTGCAAACATCAGCCACCAAACCTTCATGACTTGGAGAGGATCTGCCAAGAGGAGTGGGCCAAAATCCCTCCTGAGATGTGTGCAAACCTGGTGGCCAACTACAGGAAACGTCTGACCTGTGAATGCCAACAAGGGATTTGCCACCAAGTACCAAGTCATGTTTTGTGAAGGGGATCAAATACTTATTTCCCTCATGAACATGCAAATCAGTGCGTAATTTGTTAGACATGCATTTCTTTTGAATATTTTGTTGCTATTCTGTCTCTCAGTGTTACAATACACCTACCATTCGATTTTTAGACTGATCATTTTTTGTGAGTGGGCAAACATTCAAAATCAGCAGGGGATCAAAAACTTATTTCTTTCACTGTAGTTAGTCTGGTTTTAAAAAGACACATGACCATCTAGTTTAACCAATGAAAAGAAAAAACCTGTTTTAAAAAATTATACAATCCTATATACACAATCATATACCCACAGTTGATCCAGTGGAAGGCAACAAAAACCCAACAAAGCATGATCCAATTTCTTCCAGAGGCAGCCAGATATTCCCTGGATAAACTTTACCTATAAATGTTAGTATCTAGTTATACTATGTGCATTTAGGAAAGAAACCAGGCCAATATACTGAGCTAGCCAGAACCAGCACTTGAGGGAGTCTATTCCACATTTTTCACAGCTCTTACTGTGAAGAATCCTTTCCATATTTGGAGATTTTTCCTTCAGATGTAAGTCAGTTTGGTTGCCTTTCTCTGCATTTTCTCCACTCTGATATGCTTTTTGTGAATTGATACCCAAAACTGAACTGCATCTTCTAGACGAGGATTTACTAATGATTTGTACAGGGATAAGATGATCTCTCTCTCTCTCTCTCTCTCTCTCTCTCTCTCTCTCTCATCTATACCTCTCTTAATACAAGAGAGGATTTTGCTCGCTTTAGAAACTGCAGCTTGGCATTGCATGCCATTATTAAGCTTGTGATCTACCAGTGGTACTATGCCAGTCACTAAATGAAATTCTTTAACCACTAGCCTACAGGGCACTTATACCCCCTTCCTGCCCAGGCCAATTTCCAGCTTTCAGCGCTGTCACACTTTAAATGACAATTGCGCGGTCATGCAACACTGTACCCATATGAAATTTTTATCATTTTTTTTGAGACAGATAGAGCTTTATTTTGGTGGTATTTAATCATCTCTGGGATTTTTATTTTTTCTTAAACAAACCAAAAACCACTGAAAATTTTAAAAAAACTAAATTTTTTCTTCGTTTTTGTTATAAAATTTTGAAAATAAGTGATTTTTCTCCTTCACTGTTGTGCGCTAATGAGGCTGCACTGATGGACACTGATAGGTGGCACTGATGAGGAGGCATTGGTAGGTTGCACTGATGGGCATTGACAGTCATCACTGATGGGCACTGAAAGGCAGCACTGATATATTGCACTGATAGGCAGCACTGACTGGCACTGTTAGGCGGCACTGTCTGGCACTGTTAGGCAACACTGACTGGCACTGTTAGGCAGACTGACTGGCACTGTTAGGCAGCACTGACTGGCACTGATAGGTGGCACTGACTGGCACTGATAGGTGGCACTGATTGGCGGCACTGATAGGTGGCACTGATGCGCACTGATAGGCGACACTGACTGGCACTGATATGTGGCACTGATTGACACTGATAGGTGGCACTGATTGGCAGCACTGATAGGTAGCACTGATTGTCATTGATAGGTGGCACTGACTGGCACTGATGGGTGACATTGAAAGGCAGCTCAGATGGGCACTGATATGTGGCATTGATGTGCACTGGTATGCACTGATATGTGGCATTGATGTGGCACTGATGGGCACTGGCACGTGGCACTGATGAGCACTGACTGCTGGCACTGATGGACACTGACAGGTGGCACTGGTGGGGCTACACTGATCATCAGGGCACACTGATCATCAGTGCCCTGATCATCAGTGTACATGTCCCCACCACGGAAAGCCGATTACCGGCTCTCCTCACCTCTCAAACTGTCAGCGTGACAGCTCGAGAGGAGAGGAATGCCGATAACCGGCATTTCCGTGTTTACATGTGATCAGCTGCGATTGGACACAGCTGATCACATGACCGAGCCGACATCTTCGGCTCTTTCCGTGATCCGCTGTGTCCGAGGGACACAGCGCACCGGCAATCGCCGTGCTGCGCGCTCCCTGAGCCGCACATGCGCGGTGAGAATGGAAGGACATCATATGACATCCTATCAGAACGAGAGAACCACCTTGTGCCCGTCATTGTACTATATGGTGTGCGGAAGGTGGTTAAGGACCGGTGGGTGTATGCCATCCGGTCCAGGTGCTTTATTCACCTTTATTCTGTCTAAATATTTCTGAACCATATCAATTTTGAGCCATTGTGGATCATTTGGAACTGTGTCAATACCATGCCCATTATGGACATGAGCTCCCCCATGCTCCTTTGTATATACAGAGCTGAAGAAGGTATTTAATAAATTTGCCTTCTGTTTGTCCCCAGTCACCCACTCTAGATTATTTTGTAAAGGGCCTACATGCTCGGACCGAACCTTTTTCCTAGTAATATATTATTAATATAGCAGATGGTCTGCTCTCCCGGCTGTTAGGAATAGTAGTATCATCTAGGGCTGCTACCACTGAGCTTGCCACCCCCATATCTTCATCCAACTTGGCAAATCAATTTGGGTGCTCAAACCCAGGGCTGCCCTTCCTTCCCTATGGCCCCCTACCACTCCCTCTGACTATAGTAGCCCATCTTCCTACCTGATAATCCTGACTTCCCCTCCACCCTCCACATCAACCTTCTGTATGTATGTATGTACAGTATGTTCGGTTAAATTCTAGTTATTAGTAAGAATAGAAAAATGTTCTTCATCAAATAAAAACCTCTGAAAAGTGCTGCCTAAAAAGTGCAAAATGACTGGCATTCCACAGGTGTCCATCAGTCCATAGATGTAAAGACCTTGTCACTCTAAGCAGATTGAAACATTTGGATTGTTATTGCTTCATGAAGCCAAGATTCCTAATTCTAGAGATCCAGGCTGAAAGTGTACGTCTCCCTACTACGTTTCTGATCACTATACACCTTAGTTTTACCCCGTTGATCTTTAACTGTCTTAGCAACTGGTGATTCCAGAAGCACTGGGCTTTGTGGGAGTTGTATGGCTCCAACATGTAGTTTTTGCATATTTGTCTGCCATGTAGTAGTTCAGCTGGTGTTGCTTGTGCAGTTGAATGTCTGATAGCTCTCTAGACATACAAGAACTCTGTAGTAAACATTTTCCAAAATTTTTTGTAAAGCTAGACATATATGGCTCACGTTTGAGCTGTGGTTGGGTCTGTCAGCACCACTTGGCCCGGCCTATGTCAGTTTTTCAGTTTACTTCTGTATAAAGAGCCAAGTGGAAAATTGTCAGCTGAACAGTGACTGCATCCAATCAATTGTCAACAAGGGAGATTCAGCCTCTGCATGGATGGAGAAATCCATAAATGTATGCCTTGCTTAAGATTTTCAGTCCAAAGAGTTCTTCAAGGGTTCTGTTTAAACTCTCAAACTCTCCATTTGCTTGAGGGTAATAAACCAAGGATTTCCTAAGCACAATATAGCTCTTTCTCAGGTTCCGTTCACAGCAATGCATTTTTTAGTGCTTTTTGCTTATTGCAGAAATTCAATACAGTCCATTTAACACAGTTTCCTATGGAACATGTTCACATCTATGCTTTTTTGAGCTGCTACATTTTTGGAAATTTGGGAAATTTGGGACTTTTTTTAAAAGCAAAAAGCAGCATTTTTGCTACAATAGAGTTCAATGGAGAATCTGATGAAATACATGGTAGTACATGTAACAGCGTATACCCAGAGATTGACGCAGTCCTCCATTTTGTTAAGAATCTCCATGTTGTCCCTCATTTTTCCCCCTTTCCTCACTGTTAATCCACAGGAACATATGTGTGTTGGAAGGGTCACAGGCAGGCTAGAGCATGGCAGGGAGCCCAGAGCTATAAAACACCTCCCTGAGCAAGGTGCCTGACTGTCTGAGCAACCTGTGCCATTTAACACCTCGTATAAAGATAACAGAGCCTTCCCAGGAGTTCAAGGCATTCCAAAGAACCACGAATCAGATAAACTTTTCAAAATCCATTTTTCCCCTGTCTCATATCTTGGAATATGAGAGACTTACATAAAAACCAGACATATTTCAGATTGGCTAAGAGAAGACGAACAATTTGATGGGTCACTCACCTTGTCTCGAATACATAGGAAAGCCGAAAAATAGATCTTGTGAATCGTTCAGTGTATAATTTCATAATTCATATCTAATCAATCCTCAGACGTGTCTGCATAATAATCTAAAGGTTTTAATAAACCATCACATAGTTACAGCAAGGCAACGTTTCGGAGTCTCGCAGGACCCCTTCATCAGGCATGTGACATGGTCACATGCCTGATGAAGGGGTCCTGCGAGACTCCGAAACGTTGCCTTGCTGTAACTATGTGATGGTTTATTAAAACCTTTGGACCCATATTGGTGATCCTCGGTGTGCTGGTGACATTTTTTCCTTGCTGATTTTGTTCGGTTCCAGCCGACGGTCACTGCAGCACCCACTCATACACACAGCCATTTTTTAACGCAGGAACGTGTGCGTTTGGATCATATACTTGCATAATAATCTACCCGCGGGTGAAATGTCACTTGTGCATAGGAAAAGTTATGAGCCAAAATATGAACCAGGTCCACGCCCAGACCTCCACGCCCTAAACGGGGTATTGGTCCTTGACTTCAGAGACACCCCCTGCTGGGGAACTACAAATTAGGCTGTCAGGCCTAAGAAAAGTAAGTTGAAGATGTCTCCCATTTTTAACATCAGTACCATCTGGGGAGACCGATGCCCTTTCGCTCTTAAACTTGGATCTGCCAACCCAGGACTTTGGCAAGTACCTTAACCCTTTCACTGCTCTCTGATATCTCTTTGCTGTGCTGTTAGTCTCTGTATATTTATATATATATCTTAGTTACATCTTTTTCTGTAAATATTTTTATTGCACCATTTGACCTTTTAGTAATAAATCTTTCCTTCTGAAAGTGTTGAACTGTTTCTATAGCGCTTTATTGCAATTTACGAATTCCTGCCTCTAAAGAGACGCTACTGTGTTTGTTTAACCCTCTGCATAATCGGCCTGCGGTGACCGTATTATGCAGATGATTATCTCAACCATTATAGTGTTTTAGCTGATATCGCCGAGTTTCCTCTTTCTCTGTACAAAAAGGAGATGGTGGCAGTGTGAAGGGTTAATTGTGTAATTAACCTGACCCAGTAACAATCGCTCAGGCTGCCGGTACATCGATTGTGGTCCAATTAGCTGGAAAATCATTGTGCAGGGTGCAGCTGAGTGTGGCATTGTTACATCGGGGTTTTAGATCGGCTAGTCCTTCTGTCACGAGTTTGGTGAGAAGGTCTGGGGTATGACGCCGCGATAGTGACAGTACATTTTTGCTGTGTTTTGCGTTTTACATTTATATTCTGCCTAGCAAAAAAAAAAAACTGAACAAAATGCAAAACGTGGTAAAAACATATCAAAAACATGTGTAAAAAAATGCAAAACAAACTGCGAAAAGCACTGCAAAATGGACAAAAAGCAAACTGCATAGGTGTGTACGGAACCTTAGGAAAGATTCAAAATCAGATGAAACACATTGTGTTCCATTGTCAGACACTAGTTCTTTTGGATTGGCTTCCCTGCTGAAGACTGTGGAGAGAAATGTAATTACAGTAGCAGAGGTTATATTTGCGACAAATGCAATTTCTGGCCATTTACTGTAATAATCTATTAACGTTATAGCAAATTGGCAGTCCACAGGTGCATCTCTTAAAGGATCTATTATTACAGTAGCAAGCTATAAAAACTCAGACAATAGCCATTTTATTTTCAAATAAAGCTGAATGGAATTTGTCTATTGTGCGTACCAAACCGGCTGATGTAGGAGATCTTAAAAAATTACAATATATAAAATTGAATTTTAGATTTACACAGTTGTACCTCTTCTGTACTGAAAAAGCTTACTCTGATTTAACTGCACACTGTGAGCGTCTTGTAGAGTGCAAAGGAATTAGCAGCAGGTAAGACAGAGCATGCTTCATATCCTGTCTGAAGGACAATCAGCATCATCCATCTATTACAGGTACTTGTACAGCACCATCAATTTATGCAGCACTTTACATACATACTGTACATTCACATCAGTCCCTGCCCTCATGGAGCTTTCAATCTAAGGTCCCTAACTCACACACTCATACATACACATACTAGGGCCAATTTAGATAGGAGTCAATTAACCGAGCAGCATGTATTTGGCGTGTGGGAGGAAACCTACAGAGGCACAGGGGGAACATGCATACTCCAGGCAGATAGTGCCATGGTAGGGATTCAAACTGATGACCCCAGTACTGCTACTACAGAAGTGCTGACCACTTAGCCACTGTGCTTGCTTTCCCATCCTTGTTGTCACTGAGCAGCATCACTTGTGAGCATTGCCTTGGGCAGTCTGCATAGTACAGTAAGCTGCCTAAGAACACCCATTCCTC